AGAGGGGGATAATATTGAAAAAAGAACATTTATTAAACTAAATGGTTGGCGATTTATCATTAAAAAACTTGTGTTGACTTCGGGACTCAAAACGTATCAATGAATGGGATTATGCTTGGGTATGTGCTTGGCCAGCCCTAAGCGGACATTAAAAAGACCGGCTCAGGATAACAGACGCTGATAATGTCCCTCGCCTTCGGTTCGGCATATCATCGTCCATTCTCCTGGTCCAAGCCCACATTCGTCCCGTTAATCAAGTTGATTGGTAAGTTCGCTCGTACCCCGACCTCATTATAAGGCGGCGAACAAGGACAGAATTGGTGAGCGACCGTTTTCAAGGAACGACAGAATAGATGCAATCAAGGCGAGTTCGATCTAATTTTACTGAAATCGAAGACTGGCTTTTCATAGAAGCTCGCGCCCTTTTGAATTTTATGAGATACATTTCAACATTTTGCAGCATTCCAGCACTTCTTTTAAGTTTTTGGAAGGCCCTCATAGTTTAATTCTACATTATTTCCTCCAGTACTGAAGATAAGAAAAGAAAGAACATCAGTACTACCCCTCTGACAGCAATACTCCCAACACCTTTAACTTGTAAACATATTAATTTGTTTGACGTTCCCGCCAATAAATAAAATCTGGCCCACGCAGAGATCCAAATGATAATTTTATCATGGCGCGCAAACAATAGAACCGAGGACCAATTAACTGCATTTTTCAGGTTTAACAAATATCAACAGCAAACAGTATACAACGTCGTGTCAGCCGTCTTTGTCAACATAACCCCCACCGGCGCCTGGGGCTTAGCAGGAAAAGACCTTCCTGGAAATTAATTAAGATTCCTCATTAATTTAATAAAAGAATGAGTAATGTCCAGACTACATACATCGAACCGCATGTGGGGGTTGATGGTTGTTGGGCACAGTAACAGCATCGGAAAAGAGAATTTATTTAATAGCCTTCACCTATCAGAATCCCTTCCCCTATTAGAATCCACATACCTTAAAGGTGTATCCTTATTGCGTTTGCTGAACAGTTACAGAGGATTTCAGGTTCAAGTATAAACCTCAGTAGGTTCACGTCAATCTATGATAATGGAATGGAACTTCACCGTCGTCTTAAAAGTTGAATATGCATGACAACAATGACGCTGATTAGAGGGTTCCATATTGGTGATAATACGGGCAATTCACAATAGTGCGTCTCCAGGAGTTTGCAACGCGTTGGCCAATGACGATGCGCGAAATCAGTCGACCCAATGCGCGTTTGCAAAAGGTCGACAGATTTCGCGCTTTGTGATTGGTCAACGCGTTGTAATCTCTAGGAGGAGGACTATTGTGAATCGCACTACTGTTGACGTCACACTTTGTTTACAAGTCATGTTCATTTTTCTATGGAGCCACTTGGGGCACTTGGTCCACTGAGCTGGGAAAGCACATCGTAAACGCAGAGTGCTTTCATCACTACAGGGGTCTAGTCCCTGGGCCCAAGGTCAAATTAGCAGATCACTTTGAGCCAGCGGTATTAATAGCACCTACAAGGGCATATTGGGCGTTTTTCAACAATGCATCACTGCTCCTTTAAGCAATGATTCCCTTATACAAACATTTCATGCTCTATAACCACTGTAAAGCAGTTGCCATGACCAGTGGCCCTGCAGTATCAAGGCAGGAACGTGATAGCTAAAAAGTTTGACATCAAAGGCATAATTAAAACATCATTAGTATTACCAGAGTGGATGGGTACAAGATAACTGTGTCGTTTAAATGAGATAAATTATTTTTTTTTTGCGTCGGCAGCTATATACCTCCGTAGATGGGCGGAAAGAAGCGACTTCGAATGGGACAGCAGGTAAATACAAGGAAACGCGCAGCCAGCAGTATGTAATGATAACATAAATGAATGTTTACGTTGAATCACATCATTCAGTGAACCAGGATGGCACTTGGGTAACTTAAGGCTGTTTTTTTCTAGAAACTCCAAAATGTAAATAGATACAGGGAAATGCACTGAGAGTACTTTAGTTAAGTCCGGCAAAGGACTGCACAACTTGACTGCAAAAGGTTCATGTGGGATTCGGACGGGTCAAAAAAAGGTGTGGGGGGTGGATAGGGTGAAAATGTGTAGCCTAGGAATTTCAAAGTAAAAAAAGAGTAATTATCAAGGCACCTGTGACATTTAAGACAGTTGACATTTAACCGTGAAGATGATAAAAACTGAAGAAATAAAGGTTCCGAATAGGGTTGTTTTGAGCCTTGCACATTTTAGGTGAGCGATTGAGAAGGGCCTGGTTACTCTGGCCAATTCCATATTTATATTTGCCACAGAAGTACTAAAATAAAATGATACTGGCTTCTGTTTTTGAACGCAAAGGCACCCCAGGCTTACAGCTGGGCAATGATAGGACCAGGATTGGGTTGTTGTTCATCAGGGTTTAGAATCTCGGCGCCGCATCCACGTACAAGTTAAAGAACAAAGAATGTGCCATAAGGTTCTTGTACAAAGGTAACGTTTGATACGAGAGTTTTGGTCAATTTACAAGAGGCGAGAAAATAACTCTATTGACAATGGGTTTTACAATTTCGATATCAATTCAGTTTATTCGTCCAAGAAGAAATTCACCATTTTTATTGCATTAATTCTTCAACCACCGTAACGTCTAACACAAATCTGCTTCAGAAAAACAAAAACACAAATTCCCCCATCAGTGGCTGTTACACATGGCATTAAGTACATGTACTTATCCATTTCAAAAACAACTGGCAAAATTGGCTGTGGTTTCTACACTGAATCCCAAGCGTAGGAATGTAAAACCTAAAATAGTGCCAGTCAGCGCGCAGCGTTGCCGATAATGAAGCACACAGTGGAGTTTTATTTGCAGCGCAAGCTTTTCTCAACACCACATCGCGAACAATGCACCAAGGAACTGTATCGTCTGAACTTGTGACCCTCCTCTAACTGTGCGGCTGATTGCCCACCTCAAATACCCTTGCAACTATGACGTCATCGCAACGGATTTCCTTGCCCCTTATGTTTTCTTTCCACATTTCGGCGAATGCTTCCAGCAAATACTGCGATCAAAAGCCATTTTGAAAAGCCAAGATGGTTTCAGAGAAGACTTGGCAACAGCACTCGGGGGTGAGTGGTTGTCCGGCATTAGCATCTCTGACAATTCACCTGCTCTCAGACTGACGTGCCCAGGTTCATAGACAACACAAAATGTTTCTTGTATTCCCATCACCGACACCTGATGACTTCACTGTGAAGATCGGATTTCAGCATCAGTCCCTGATCTCTGACAAAAAAACTTCTTACAGCAGTCTCCGGCATACAGATTTGAACACTGTGGCTTTTATAAGACTCTGGATTTTTAAAGACATGTAGTGTAATAAAAAATCCCCCGATGTTAATTTCCCTCAATATTTCAGGAGGGTCAGGATGAGAATTTTTGCTCAACCAAACATTTGGTTTAAAAATGTTTCTACAAATATAACATTTAAATGCTACTTTTAAGTAATTTATTAGCACAAAGTGTACCAAATAAATAAACTCAATTTCAAATCTAAAAGAGTGGCAGAAATTATTTTTCACACCATTGGTAATTTAAATTAGGCACTCGTTTCATATCTTTACTGAGTCCTTCACAAAGGGAAGTTATGAATAAAAGCAAATCCGCTATTTTGGCATGCCAACCCACTCCATTCCTTGACAAATGGGGTAATTTTAACAATGACAACTTTATGGTGTATGCATATGCCCTTTCCCTTAAATTGTAAAAAAATAAACTTTAATTTATGACTTTTTGAGTACTTAATGCATACAGGCGATTCAGTGCGCCTCCAACAGCTTGCAATGTGTTGGCCAATCACGATGCACAAAATCTGTCGACCCTTCCCAAACGAGCATTGGGTCGACAGATTTGAGTATTGTGGTTGTCCAATGCCTTGCAAACTCTTGGAGGCGAGCTATTGTGATATGGCCATATTGATTGGTGTTGAGTTTCAAATTAAAGAACACGACACTAGGG